ATTTTGTTCTAGTTATAAGATGTTCCCACCATTCGTTTCAGGAATATTGTGTTAAGTACCACTGTATGACAACCATATGCTGGTGGCTTATATGTGATTTCATATTTCCAATGACCCCTCAAGGTTAACATCCCCATTTTACAGGTGAGAAAGTAAGACTCAAAAAGATCCTACAGCTCATAGAGGAGAAAGCCAAACATGACCTTGCAGCCCAGGATTTTCCTCTTCTTCCACCACTATACCATGCCACATCTCATTTAAAAATCAAAAAGTAAGTTCTAAAGCAGTTTGATATTCTATGTTTTCTAAAGATAAATAAAATAACTTTAAGAAAATCAGAAAAGCTATTTCTTCTCTTTTTGTGACAAAATGAATATCTAAACAGCTGAGTTTACATGTCAAAAATGTTAGTTTCCTTTTTATCAGCAGTAAGTAAAAAAGTATCCAAGTATGGTCATAACTAATAATAGTAATCCACAGTAATTTCGAAATCGGTTTGCTTCAGAAGTATATTTGTAGCCCATGCTATGAAGTATTGATAGGAAATACATCACACATAACCATTAAGGAGAGCACAAAGCACAAGAAGTTGTGGAAATGGCAAAAAAAAATTAATCAAGTGGTGTGGAGTAGTTGGCATATACACTTGGTATTACACATTTTCTTTTTAAATTTTTACTAAGTAAGAACAGAAAATGCTAATGAACCTTGTAGGGGAAATCCTTTTCAAATTCCATAATATAGAAACTTCAAAAAAGAAATTGGGCTTCCAATATACATGCTACAACATGAACCTGAGGACACTATGCTAAGTGAATTAAGCCAGTCATGAAAAGACAAATACTGTATGATTTCACTCATATGCGGTATCTAGAGTAGTCAAACTTAGAGAAACACAGTAGAATGGTAGTTGTGAGAGGTGGGAGAGACGTGAGGAGGAGGAGGAAATGGCACAGAGTTCCAGCTCCTCAAGACAAAGCAGTTCTGGAGATTGGCTGCACAGTTAATGTGAATACCTCTAATACCACAGAAAAGATTAAGATGGTAAATTTTGTGATAACATTTTATTATAATTAAAATAAATGTCTTTTTCCAAAGAATCCAATGATTTATTAATGTTACGTTTTAAAAACAGAACATCTAGAGATATATACTGTTGATATTTGCAGGTTGATGGGTATATGTGGATATACTAGTCTACCTTTGTAAATGTTTGAAATTTTCCTCATGAAATAAATTAAAAGGGAATCAGTAAGGAAATGAAATTTCCTAATCAAGAGAAACATTTATGAAAATGTTTAATTATAGTTAAAACGTATAAAATGCAGTAACATTTAACTACACCTGATAAACATGGCACATCACTTAATTCACTTAGGAGAGAGCTGCTGAAAACTAGAATGGTCTTCTGGGCTTGCATTAGAAAAACTATGTGGAGAAAATTACATGAACAGTCTAAGTCTGCCATGAAAACAATGTATTTTTATTAAGATAATTAAAAGTCAAAAACAACAACAAATGGGAAATTCCACAACCTTTGTTTGCAACTATATAATCTTTATGTAGAAAAACTATAAAGTGACAGTCTGGTCTGGAAAGCAGCTCCACAATAAACCTATTCCTTACATTGAGTTAACTCAATCATGGAGTCAGTTCACCTAAAAGATTTTGCTGTAGAATATGCAGAGCTGATTTCAACTATATTCTTCTCATTTCTGATAAACTATCTTTCCTGATATTTCATATCACCAGAGATATACAAGAGGTTGTTGAAGTAAAAGATAAAACAAATATTCCAAGCACAGTTACACGTGAAAATGAACGAAGGCATTGTATCTAGAGATCTACAAAACTATACAAATTACCAATTATACATATAATCCATTTACACTGAGGCTCTATGAGGTGGTACTGAAAAAAAAAAAAACACTGAGGCATTGAATTTGCAACAATGGAACCAGGCTCACTCTGAACAGCAGCACTTCCCACCTTTTAGTCCATCATCACAACATTTCCCTTGGAATTTCCATTTATTTGTCTAAGATCTAAGTCCTAGAAAGGACATAAAAAATTTTCAAAGCCAAAAGAATAATGAATTAATAAACAATCCCTAAAATCTACTCTAAAACATGCATGTGAAATATGAAGAGGCCAAGCACCTTGTAAACAGGAGTTTTTACATTCACATACTTCTTCCCACTTACACTAGCATTGTCACTAGTGTCTGCACTGAAGTTTCCATAATTAGGCTTCCCAATGATACATAATAGAAGAGGAAAAAAACAA